GGCCCAGAGTTTTTCCATGGGTCCCTGTACGGCCTCCCTTGCGTGTCTCCATCCCCAACTCTGCCATGTGCCATTTCAGGTTCCTCACACACTGTGGTTGTTGAATTTTTTGCCATGGGTGCTGGCAGATTAGGGCCCCCCATAGTGCTGCAGGCCCTAATCTCCCAGGGCCCCCCTATTTTACGCCTCCATGTTTGCTGCCAGGTCCCGAGTCTGTCATGGTCCCTGTACGGCCTCCCATTGCTGCTGTCTCCATCGCCACACTCTGCCATGTGCCACTTTCAGGTCTCCTCACACACTGCTTGTGTGTTGAATTTTTTGGACATAGGGTGCTTCATGGGTCCCTGTACGGCCTCCCATTGCTGCTGTCTCCATCGCCACACTCTGCCATGTGCCACTTTCAGGTCTCCTCACACACTGCTGGTGTGTTGAATTTTTTGACATAGGGTGCTGGCAGATTACGGGCCTCCCATAGCTGCTGCCAGGCCCCTAATCTGCCATGGGCCCCTATATACCGCCTCCTCATGCTGCTGCCAGGTCCAGAGTCTGTCATGGGTCCCTGTACGGCCTCCCATTGCTGCTGTCTCCATCGCCACACTCTGCCATGTGCCACTTTCAGGTCTCCTCACACACTGCTGGTGTGTTTGAATTTTTTGACATAGGGTGCTGGCAGATTACGGGCCTCCCATAGCTGCTGCCAGGCCCCTAATCTGCCATGGGCCCCTATATACCGCCTCCTCATGCTGCTGCCAGGTCCAGAGTCTGTCATGGGTCCCTGTACGGCCTCCCATTGCTGCTGTCTCCATCGCCACACTCTGCCATGTGCCACTTTCAGGTCTCCTCACACACTGCTGGTGTGTTGAATTTTTTGACATAGGGTGCTGGCAGATTACGGGCCTCCCATAGATGCTGCCAGGCCCCTAATCTGCCATGGGCCCCTATATACCGCCTCCTCATGCTGCTGCCAGGTCCAGAGTCTGTCATGGGTCCCTGTACGGCCTCCCATTGCTGCTGTCTCCATCGCCACACTCTGCCATGTGCCACTTTCAGGTCTCCTCACACACTGCTGGTGTGTTGAATTTTTTTGACATAGGGTGCTGGCAGATTACGGGCCTCCCATAGCTGCTGCCAGGCCCCTAATCTGCCATGGGCCCCTATATACCGCCTCCTCATGCTGCTGCCAGGTCCAGAGTCTGTCATGGGTCCCTGTACGGCCTCCCATTGCTGCTGTCTCCATCGCCACACTCTGCCATGTGCCACTTTCAGGTCTCCTCACACACTGCTGGTGTGTTGAATTTTTTGACATAGGGTGCTGGCAGATTACGGGCCTCCCATAGCTGCTGCCAGGCCCCTAATCTGCCATGGGCCCCTATATACCGCCTCCTCATGCTGCTGCCAGGTCCAGAGTCTGTCATGGGTCCCTGTACGGCCTCCCATTGCTGTCTCTCCATCGCCACACTCTGCCATGTGCCACTTTCAGGTCTCCTCACACACTGCTGGTGTGTTGAATTTTTTGACATAGGGTGCTGGCAGATTACGGGCCTCCCATAGCTGCTGCCAGGCCCCTAATCTGCCATGGGCCCCTATATACCGCCTCCTCATGCTGCTGCCAGGTCCAGAGTCTGTCATGGGTCCCTGTACGGCCTCCCATTGCTGCTGTCTCCATCGCCACACTCTGCCATGTGCCACTTTCAGGTCTCCTCACACACTGCTGGTGTGTAGAATTTTTTGACATGGGTGCTGGCAGATTACGGGCCTCCCATAGCTGCTGCCAGGCCCCTAATCTGCCATGGGCCCCTATATACCGCCTCCTCATGCTGCTGCCAGGTCCAGAGTCTCTCATGGGTCCCTGTACGGCCTCCCATTGCTGCTGTCTCCATCGCCACACTCTGCCATGTGCCACTTTCAGGTCTCCTCACACACTGCTGGTGTGTTGAATTTTTTGACATAGGGTGCTGGCAGATTACGGGCCTCCCATAGCTGCTGCCAGGCCCCTAATCTGCCATGGGCCCCTATATACCGCCTCCTCATGCTGCTGCCAGGTCCAGAGTCTCTCATGGGTCCCTGTACGGCCTCCCATTGCTGCTGTCTCCATCGCCACACTCTGCCATGTGCCACTTTCAGGTCTCCTCACACACTGCTGGTGTGTTGAATTTTTTGACATAGGGTGCTGGCAGATTACGGGCCTCCTATAGCTGCTGCCAGGCCCCTAATCTGCCATGGGCCCCTATATACCGCCTCCTCATCATGCTGCTGCCAGGTCCAGAGTCTCTCATGGGAGGAACTTCTCAGTGTAATTGAACCATCGAAATCTGCCAGATGGCACTGTCTCCTCGCAAACTGAAAATGGGAACCATTTGACCGACAACGGAAAGAACATTACGGGTCTCCTCTAGCTGCTGCAAGTAAGGTAATGTGCCATGGGCCCCTATATACCGCATGGCTCATGCTGCTGCCAATCTGGTCTGTCAAGCGGTTCCTAAAATCCACCATCCCACTGCAAGACATCCTTAAAATGTGCCACGTTCAGGTCTCCTCACATGCATGTGTCAGCCATTTTTTGACATAGGGTGCTGCAGATTACACCCCTCCTTGCTGCTGCAGCAGGCCCCTAATCGGAATTCCCCAGCATCGCCTGATCTGCGACGTTGCAACAAGGTGGAATTCAACCCTACACATGTAGACCGCCTTTACGAACAGCGAAAGGCCATCACCGATTTCCTGATGTTACAAGCGCTAAAGGTACTCCCCTGTGTAACTTCGATGTCAGCCATTGGCAGCTCATGCGTGACACCTGCCCGCTTGCTCAGGCCCTTTGACACTGGAGGCCACTTTCAGGTCTCCTCACACTGGAGGCCACGCTATTCGTGAGTCGGCAGGACTATGGGATGAACGACCCTATCATTCCTCTGTTGCACGTCCTGGAACAAATGCTGTTAACAATGGCTGGTCAGGGTGCGGTAGACGTGGCGCACAGATCTCAACGCCACATGACCCCATGTGGGGGCACTTTCAGGAAGACAGGAGGAGTAGAGGAGGACATTTGTGCTCAGGAATTATTGAGTGAAATGGGTGGTTTTTCCACTCAGCGCTGCAGGAGTGGAGGAGCAGGAGCATCTGGTAGAGGAGGAGGATAGGAGGAGACAGAGGACCCAGACGCACCGTGGCAGTATGCTGTGGAGATGGAGGCAGGGAGTCCCTCGCATTCCTTGGCACAAATGGCCCATAGCATGCTCGGTTTGCTTGCGTAGCGACAGCCGAATAATAACCATCAGACAGAGGGATGACTTTTGGCTGTCCACCTTTGGACCCTCGCTACCGTTCAAAAATGGTGGCCTTTTTCACACCTGCTGAGAGGGGCTGCCCTAATCTGGGGCAATCCTCATGCAAAATAACGTACTATAAAAACCACCTATGTAGTCAGCTGGTCTCTGCCTTTCTGCGCCAACGTCCATCCTCAGACACTGTGGGCCCTGTGCGCTCGCGTTCCGCTGCCAGGTCTGGCAGGGGAGGGGAGGGGTGGTGGTGGTAGGAGCATTGGCAGCTCCACCAGCAGCGGCTGCCTCAGTCTGCAGTCGATGATGAGTAGCTTTCTTCACCCCTAGCGCAGTGAGGAAACTACTAACCAGCCGCAGCAGCAGCAGCAGCAGCATCAGGTGGACCTGGAGCAGGACCTCAAACAACAGGCTTAGGCCTACTTGGACAGCACCCTGCCAACCGAGGTAGACAATCCCCTTGACTACTGGGCAACGAAACTTGACCTTTGGCCCCAACTAGCTGAATTTGCCCTTGAAAGGCTGTCATGCCCGGCCAGTAGCGTGGCATCGGAGCGCGTGTTTAGTGCGGCAGGAGGTATTGTAAACTCCGCGGAGGACACGACTGTCCACCCAAAGTGTGGAGAGACTCACGTTTGTGAAAATGAATCAGGCGTGGATTAGTCTGGATTTCAAACCACCAGTTCCTGACACAACTGACTAAATCCGCCATGAATCATGCCCCAAACATGTGCCACTTTCAGGTCTCCTCACACTGCTGGTGTGTTCCATTTTTTGACATAGGGTGCTGGCAGATTACGGGCCTCCCATAGCTGCTGCCAGGCCCCTAATCTGCCATGGGCCCCTATATACCGCCTCCTCATGCTGCTGCCAGGTCCAGAGTCTCTCATGGGTCCCTGTACGGCCTCCCATTGCTGCTGTCTCCATCGCCACACTGCCATGTGCCACTTTCAGGTCTCCTCACACTGCTGGTGTGTTCAATTTTTTGACATAGGGTGCTGGCAGATTACGGGCCTCCCATAGCTGCTGCCAGGCCCCTAATCTGCCATGGGCCCCTATATACCGCCTCCTCATGCTGCTGCCAGGTCCAGAGTCTGTCATGGGTCCCTGTACGGCCTCCCATTGCTGCTGTCTCCATCGCCACACTCTGCCATGTGCCACTTTCAGGTCTCCTCACACTGCTGGTGTGTTCAATTTTTTGACATAGGGTGCTGGCAGATTACGGGCCTCCCATAGCTGCTGCCAGGCCCCTAATCTGCCATGGGCCCCTATATACCGCCTCCTCATGCTGCTGCCAGGTCCAGAGTCTCTCATGGGTCCCTGTACGGCCTCCCATTGCTGCTGTCTCCATCGCCACACTCTGCCATGTGCCACTTTCAGGTCTCCTCACACACTGCTGGTGTGTAGAATTTTTTGACATAGGGTGCTGGCAGATTACGGGCCTCCCATAGCTGCTGCCAGGCCCCTAATCTGCCATAGGCCCCTATATACCGCCTCCTCATGCTGCTGCCAGGTCCAGAGTCTCTCATGGGTCCCTGTACGGCCTCCCATTGCTGCTGTCTCCATCGCCGCCACACTCTGCCATGTGCCACTTTCAGGTCTCCTCACACTGCTGGTGTGTAGAATTTTTTGACATAGGGTGCTGGCAGATTACGGGCCTCCCATAGCTGCTGCCAGGCCCCTAATCTGCCATAGGCCCCTATATACCGCCTCCTCATGCTGCTGCCAGGTCCAGAGTCTCTCATGGGTCCCTGTACGGCCTCCCATTGCTGCTGTCTCCATCGCCACACTCTGCCATGTGCCACTTTCAGGTCTCCTCACACTGCTGGTGTGTAGAATTTTTTTGACATAGGGTGCTGGCAGATTACGGGCCTCCCATAGCTGCTGCCAGGCCCCTAATCTGCCATAGGCCCCTATATACCGCCTCCTCATGCTGCTGCCAGGTCCAGAGTCTCTCATGGGTCCCTGTACGGCCTCCCATTGCTGCTGTCTCCATCGCCACACTCTGCCATGTGCCACTTTCAGGTCTCCTCACACACTGCTGGTGTGTAGAATTTTTTGACAAGGGTGCTGGCAGATTACGGGCCTCCCATAGCTGCTGCCAGGCCCCTAATCTGCCATAGGCCCCTATATACCGCCTCCTCATGCTGCTGCCAGGTCCAGAGTCTCTCATGGGTCCCTGTACGGCCTCCCATTGCTGCTGTCTCCATCGCCACACTCTGCCATGTGCCATGTGCCACTTTCAGGTCTCCTCACACTGCTGGTGTGTAGAATTTTTTGACATAGGGTGCTGGCAGATTACGGGCCTCCCATATAGCTGCTGCCAGGCCCCTAATCTGCCATAGGCCCCTATATACCGCCTCCTCATGCTGCTGCCAGGTCCAGAGTCTCTCATGGGTCCCTGTACGGCCTCCCATTGCTGCTGTCTCCATCGCCACACTCTCTGCCATGTGCCACTTTCAGGTCTCCTCACACTGCTGGTGTGTTAGAATTTTTTGACATAGGGTGCTGGCAGATTACGGGCCTCCCATAGCTGCTGCCAGGCCCCTAATCTGCCATAGGCCCCTATATACCGCCTCCTCATCTGCTGCTGCCAGGTCCAGAGTCTCTCATGGGTCCCTGTACGGCCTCCCATTGCTGCTGTCTCCATCGCCACACTCTGCCATGTGCCACTTTCAGGTCTCCTCACACACACACTGCTGGTGTGTAGAATTTTTTGACATAGGGTGCTGCTGGCAGATTACGGGCCTCCCATAGCTGCTGCCAGGCCCCTAATCTGCCATAGGGCCCCTATATACCGCCTCCTCATGCTGCTGCTGCCAGGTCCAGAGTCTCATGGGTCCCTGTACGGCCTCCCATTGCTGCTGTCTCCATCGCCACACTCTGCCATGTGCCACTTTCAGGTCTCCTCACACTGCTGGTGTGTTGAGAATTTTTTGACATAGGGTGCTGGCAGATTACGGGCCTCCCATAGCTGCTGCCAGGCCCCTAATCTGCCATGGGCCCCTATATACCGCCTCCTCATGCTGCTGCCAGGAGTCCATGGGTCCCTGTACGGCCTCCCATTGCTGCTGTCTCCATCGCCATGCCATGTGCCACTTTCAGGTCTCCTCACACTGCTGCTGGTGTGTTGATTTTTTGACATAGGGTGCTGGCAGATTACGGGCCTCCCATAGCTGCTGCCAGGCCCCTAATCTGCCATGGGCCCCTATATACCGCCTCCTCATGCTGCTGCCAAGTCCAGAGTCTGTCATGGGTCCCTGTACGGCCTCCCATTGCTGCTGTCTCCATCGCCACACTCTGCCATGCCACTTTCAGGTCTCCTCACACTGCTGGTGTGTTTGAATTTTTTGACATAGGGTGCTGGCAGATTACGGGCCTCCCATTGCTGCTGCCAGGCACGTAATCTGCCATGGGCCCCCGTACCGACTCCTCATGCTGTGACGTTGCAACAAGGTGGAATTCAACCCTACATATGTTAGACCGCCTTTACGAACAGCGAAAGGCCATCACAGATTTCCTGATGTTAAAAGCGGATAAAGGTACTCCCTGTGTAACTTAGATGTCAGCCATTGGCAGCTCATGCGTGACACCTGCGCTTGCTCAGGCCCTTTGAGGAGGCCACGCTATTCGTGAGTCGGCAGGACTATGGGATGAACGACGTCATTCCTCTGTTGCACGTCCTGGAACAAATGCTGTTAACAATGGCTGGTCAGGGTGCGGTAGACGTGGCGCACAGATCTCAACGCCACATGACCCCTGTGGGGGCAGGACAGGAAGAAGAGGAGGAGGTAGAGGAGGACATTGGTGCTCAGGAATTATTGAGTGAAATGGGTGGTTTTTTCCACTCAGCGGACAGGAGTGGAGGAGCAGGAGCATCTGGTAGAGGAGGAGGAGGAGGAGGAGACAGAGGACCCAGACGCACCGTGGCAGTATGCTGTGGAGATGGAGGCAGGGAGTCCCTCGCATTCCTTGGCACAAATGGCCCATAGCATGCTCGGTTGCTTGCGTAGCGACAGCCGAATAATAACCATCAGACAGAGGGATGACTTTTGGCTGTCCACCTTGTTGGACCCTCGCTACCGTTCAAAAATGGTGGCCTTTTTCACACCTGCTGAGAGGGAGGCCAAAATAAAACGTACTATAAAAACCACCTATGTAGTCAGCTGGTCTCTGCCTGTCTGCGCCAACGTCCATCCTCAGACACTGTGGGCCCTGTGCGCTCGCGTTCCGCTGCCATGGCAGCAGGGGAGGGGTGGGGTGGTAGGAGCAGTGGCAGCTCCACCAGCAGCGGCTGCCTCAGTCTGCAGTCGATGATGAGTAGCTTTCTTCACCAGCGCAGTGAGGAAACTACTAACCAGCCGCAGCAGCAGCAGCAGCAGCAGCAGCAGGTGGACCTGGAGCAGGACCTCAAACAACAGGCTTAGGCCTACTTGGACAGCACCCTGCCAACCGAGGTAGACAATCCCCTTGACTACTGGGCAACGAAACTTGACCTTTGGCCCCAACTAGCTGAATTTGCCCTTGAAAGGCTGTCATGCCCGGCCAGTAGCGTGGCATCGGAGCGCGTGTTTAGTGCGGCAGGAGGTATTGCAACTCCGCGGAGGACACGACTGTCCACCCAAAGTGTGGAGAGCTGACGTTTGTGAAAATGAATCAGGCGTGGATTAGTCTGGATTTCAAACCACCAGTTCCTGACACAACTGACTAAATCCGCCATGAATCATGCCCCAAACATGTGCCACTTTCAGGTCTCCTCACACTGCTGGTGTGTTACATTTTTTGTCATAGGGTGCTGGCAGATTACGGGCCTCCCATAGCTGCTGCCAGGCCCCTAATCTGCCATGGGCCCCTATACCGCCTCCTCATGCTGCTGCCAAGTCCAGAGTCTCTCATGGGTCCCTGTACGGCCTCCCATTGCTGCTGTCTCCATCGCCACACTCTGCCATGTGCCACTTTCAGGTCTCCTCACACTGCTGGTGTATTCCATTTTTTGTCATAGGGTGCTGGCAGATTACGGGCCTCCCATAGCTGCTGCCAGGCCCCTAATCTGCCATGGGCCCCTATACCGCCTCCTCATGCTGCTGCCAGGTCCAGAGTCTCTCATGGGTCCCTGTACGGCCTCCCATTGCTGCTGTCTCCATCGCCACACTCTGCCATGTGCCACTTTCAGGTCTCCTCACACTGCTGGTGGGTTCCATTTTTTGTCATAGGGTGCTGGCAGATTACGGGCCTCCCATAGCTGCTGCCAGGCCCCTAATCTGCCATGGGCCCCCGTACCGACTCCTCATGCTGCTGCCAGGCCCGTAATCTGTCATGGGCCCCTGTTGTCGCTTGTTGGCATATTCCGCTCGTTCAGATGCTCCTTCTCCTGCTACTCCTCTTCACGGATTCCGTCAGCAGTCTTTCTTGGAATCCGTTTCCAAGAGACAACAGTTTGCGAGCACGCACCAGACGGTGCAGAAGCTGAACGTCCTCCTGTCCAAGTTGCTGCTGCCAGGCTCGTAATCTGTCATGCGCCCCTTGCTGCTGCCAGGTCCAGAGTGTGTCATGGGTCCCTGTACGGCCTCCCATTGCTGCTGCCAGGCCCGTAATCTGCCATGGGCCCCCGTACCGACTCCTCATGCTGCTGCCAGGCCCGTAATCTGCCATGGGCCCCTGTACCGCCTCCTCATGCTGCTGCCAGGTCCAGAGTGTGTCATGGGTCCCTGTACGGCCTCCCATTGCTGCTGTCTCTATCGCCACACTCTGCCATGTGCCACTTTCAGGTCTCCTCACACTGCTGGTGGTTTCCATTTTTGTCATAGGGTGCTGTATGGCCTCCCATTGCTGCTGCCTCCACCGCCACACTGTGGCTCCACACTCTGGTTTTGGCCCCGTGACTGCCCAAATGAGTGAAGTGTGCGGTGATTCTAAGATCGACGGCACTCATCTGCATGTCATACTGACTGACAGTATTATTTCTCTTCCCCAGCAGACTCCAAGGGCATTTAAATTAAAGGTACAGTGTTCAGCACTAATATTAAGTCTCTCTGAAGCCTAGAAACACCCTTTTTTAAGTTAAATTCACAGCGAATATATTCGACTCGAATCGAAATTTTTCCACGAATTCGCCGAATCAGACAAAGTTATAAAGGGGGGGGGGATAGATTTGAAGGAGAGAAGGTTGGCAGGGAGCGGGAGAGTCCGGTCACAGTGCTCACATTTGGATGGTGCCTGGAGGCTTATGACTCAGTCTGAGGCCTCATATTCATGTTGGATCTGCCAGCTGCTGTTCCTGCCCACACATCTTCATTGCACTGAATGTGAATGGGCACAGGGGGAGAGAGGGCAGGAGAAGGCAAACAGATCCAGCCTCTCTCTTCTCCCATTAGTGCAGGGGGAAACTGCACTTTGACACAGTAATAATCACACTGTGCCAACATAGCTGCAGCCAACTACTCCTACATTGTCCCACTGACATTTTTGCACAGGAAAAATCAGACTCTTACTGGCGTTTGGCCGGCTCTGGGTGTCACCCCTCTGGTGGGTGTCACTCAGGAGGGGTCCACACCCCCATAGCCACGCCACTGATGGGTATTATCCCATACTTGAAGATCTCTGTATCTAAGCTTTTAGATTTTTTTTTTTCTGTTAGATTCTTTGTTTCCTCAGGTTGTCTTTCACTAAAAGATGCTTATAACTTTTGCTCCATCATTCTTACATTAGGTATGCTGTCAGGATTAGAATACAGTTTCATAGAAGTCATGTAAAAGCACTTTCCTTGTAATGTGGAGACTTGGATACTCATGAAAAGATTTCCCCCACAGAGGCATTACATTGCAGTCTGAGCATTCAGAACTACAATTTATAGTGATCTGGCAAAGCTACCAAGACAATCTAAACACAATCTTTTTAAGGGGGTGCCAAAGAGGTTTTTTTTTTTACTTTAATCTGCAGAAGGGTCTTATACAGTCTGCACTTCTTTCCATGTAAACATGTAAACACATTAATAGTGATTTAAATTGCATTCATATATCATTTCAGTTGCATATAAAATCATTATCTATGTCATGTTGCTTATTTTATTCAGATTATAATAATTATTATAACAATTATTTATTCAGTGTGTATTGATCTGTTTGTGTGTTCTTTATGCATTGTATTTGAAAGATTTCCATAACTAATGTGAATTAGGCACCACTAGTGATGACATTTACAGGCCTGCACACAAATTCTGGAAAAAAACAATTTCTGGCCACCACCTAGTGAGCAGATCACTACTATTATAGTCTTATAGGTGCATGTGATGGTATGCCACTGATGGATAGAAAATGTTATTGAACACGAATAGCATGGTGCGGCATGTGCCACTCAGCTCACAATTGTAGCTGCTGGCTTAGTCCCCACAATCTCTATGAAGATTATTTTTGCTAATGTGCTAATGTGTGTTGTTATCTGTTCTAGGATCTGTCCTATAATAATGATGTGCCATTATGTGTTACATCAAAAGGTATATGATTTCTTTCACATTTATGTGGTTTCCCTGTGGCCCAGTTTGAGTGAGTATGGCAGTCTATTAATTTGGATTGGCTGCTGTACCTGCGGGAAATGCATGGAAAAGGTCCATGAACCTTTTCTAAAACTGCAGTCACACAGAAATCACATGGTGCTTTGCGTTTCTGTGAATGGAAAAAACATGCCATGGTTTTCAATGTGTTTTCTAAACCGCAGCCCATTTTTTTACTGCTGGCGCATGAACATGGGTGGTTATGCAGCCCCGCACCCACATAGATGTGAACCTAGCCTTAGGTACCACTACACAGTCAGTGTCAGTGTAGAAAGAGAAAAAGGACACAGTCACTAATGTATTGTACAGTTTTCAGAGACTCAGCACTGTTCTCAATTTCCAACATTGCACTTAATTCCTCTGTAGGAAAAAATGTCCAGGATGGATCGAATTGTTGCAGAACATCAGCAGTTTTCTCAAGGCTTGAATGAGCTTCAGGACTGGATAAAGGATTCTGTTCACCTGCTGCAGTCCTACTGTCACCCCACAGCAGATAAAAGTGTCCTTGACAGCAGAATGTCTAAGCTGGAGGTAACTGTGTCACAAGCATTTCATTTATTTTTATATTATAGTCAGTCAGCAAAAACTGTCAGTTCAGCAAATACTGTAGTTCATGAGTAACCCTTATAGTTTGCTAATGTTAACGTGCACTGTGCTCATAGAATAAAACTGGTTAAATAACACAAATAAAATGACAAGAAATAAAAATTGTGTCAATAATCTCAATAATTAATGTCCGCATTTATCAGTGTCCAATCATATTCTCAGTGCTTTGCAATTACAAAGTGCTCACTCCTCCAAAAAGTTGCTCTAAAAATTAATATTCAGGCATTAACTGAGGTCTTCCTCTGAAATTGATTGACTCACCAAATGCTGTGGACCACTATATTTAATGGTCAATATGCACTTGATATTATCTATCCACATTGTTTAGTAGATTGTCTCTCTCCAATATGCCACCACCTGGGATCTCTCTCAGCATTAATGCAAAGGGATTAAAAGCTTCCACCGTGTTAAACAAACAAAAAAAACCAATCATACAATGAGAATCGCACTCACAGTGAAAAGTGCTATACTAGCACATCAGTAGTTATTATTTTTATAACACAGGAAACAATACAGCAACAATACAATTCAATACAAGAGGGTTAGGCAGGCCCTGCTCCTTGGAGCTTACAATATAATAAGGGAGGGACTGGTGGAACAAAATCTAATAACTGTAAGGAATGAACTGATGGGAGAAATAAAAGTTCTGATTATTAGCTAAAGGCAGTATAGACTTACCTGAAGAGATGAGTTTTCAAGGATCGCCTAAAAGTTGACATAGTAGAAGACAGCCAGACAGACTGGGGTAGAGAGTTCCAGAGGATGGGGGAGGCTCTAGAGAGGTCCTGAAGATGAGCATGGGAGGAGGAGCCAAGGGATAATAATAATGTGCTTACGTAAATTAAATGTATTCTGCTACAGTGGTGGCTTCAGTAAAACATATATTATAAAGTGCAAAAACGTACCCAAATGTGCTCCAAACATAAATTTATCCAGCTATGCCTATCAATCTTGTGCTCCCCATGAAGTGAATAGACACATTAACATAATAATCAAAGGTCTGAATAACACTTTGTCAAATCAGTTCACAACTTTCTCTTATCACAGATTTATGCAAAATTTCCCTCAAGTTAATATATACATAGAGAAAACAGAACCTCTATTATGTAAAATCACAAGTATTTAATGCATAAGACAAAGTAACAACACACTCATAGAGGCAGCACCAAGTATATACACTCTATGGGGGAGACTTACTACAACTGGAGCGTGCAAAATCTGGTGCAGCTGTGCATAGAAACCAATCAGCTTTATTGTCAAAGCTTAATTGAACAAGCTGATGTTAAAAGCTGATTGGCTACCCTGCCCAGCTGCACCAGATTCTGAGGGCTTCTGTTTTAGTAAATTACCCCCTATGTGCCCTACTTGCCGCTTGAACCCCATGGCAGCACTTTCAGATTGTGTAATGGCTTCAGCATCTCCCTGCCCACTGAAAACGTTTTGTCATGTAATCTCTTCAGGAGTTGATAGGCATATTACTCTGGTTTCTCAACATGAATTTTCGGCTATCCGACAGATGTTGATGCTGTGTCTGGTTTATTTAGAAGTGCAGCATTTGTGTGCATCTCTAGTCTGGCATTAGCCTGTGTGTGTTTCCATTCTCATAGATTAAATGATTAGCAGAGTTCCTTTAAAATGTGACAAATTACCTCGTTCTTGCAGCTACTTGGACATCCAAATGACAATTGCTGTAAGGTTTTCTGCACAACAGTATGAAACATCCGTTGTATAAACTTGCATTGATCTAATTGGCTTAGTATATATCTGCTTTCCCTTTTATTCTCACTGAAAACTGTACTGTCAGGGGTATTATGTAGAAATGAATGATACGAATGGTGGAGGTACTGCCTGTATCAGTAAGTCAAATTTGAAACTGTGACGTAAAACCAAAATAGTTATTGTGGGTGATCTGTCATTAGATAAAAAAATGCACTGTGCATATAGCCTATTACAATACAAAGTGCTAGACACAGGCAAACTGATTTCTAATCAGGAGTGGGACAACCTCATTACAAGCCTATACTGATGTAAGGGGCTGGTGGTTGATTCTGTTTGTTAGCCTTTATCCAAACTGAAACAATAGCACTGAGTGGGTGCTGGCTATTATCATATTGACAATTATTTTGGTATAGGCTCTGTTACTGGTGAAGCAGGAGAAGGAAATACAGATGAAGATGTTATTAACCCGAGGAGAATCTGTTCTGAGAAACACATCTCCAGAAGGAGCCCCTGCCATCCAGGACCAGCTTCAAGACCTGAAGGACTCCTGGGCCTCTCTATTATCCTCCTGTATACATTGTAAAAGGTAAATATTATAGATGCATTTCAGATTCCTCCATTTAAATGTGTTTCTTTTTTTTTTACTTCTAAGTAAGAAAATGTATTTTATTAATTGTCTTTTATTACTTCAGCCAACTTGAAGGGGCTCTGTCCAAGTGGACAGGCTATCAGGACGATGTGCGTCAGTTCTCCAGCTGGATGGATGGGATTGAGGAAAGACTGAATGAAGCTGAAAGGCAATACAATGAACTGAGGGACAAAATTGCTGCACAGAGCAAAGCTAAAGTAAGTATATGTTTATTCATTCACAGTAATTTACAGTTGTCTGAATGTGTCTAAAAGAATAGCTTGAAGTGGAAGTCAGCCTATTTCTAACTAAACTAAAACCTGCTCCCACCCCTTTCTAAACTCTTTTCAATTTACCCCATGAAAAGAAAGATATGTTTACTTAAATATTTTCAGAGCGATCTGGTGCAGTCACGTGATCTCCCCAGCAGGCGGCTTTAGTGAATAGGAGATAAAACTGACAACGGCTGAAAAGCCTGAGCACTGACATCACCCATAGGCTTACTATGGGGTATCTGTTATCGACTGTCACTCCTCTACACTGAGGCCATGACGGTACAGAATGATAGAGCCTTGGCATAGGTTCATCAGAGGAAGAAAATCAGTTTTACTGGAGTACTCGTATGCATTTTACTCTAGAATATTTTCTATGCTGGTTATTTTTATTTATTACAAAACGTATCTTGAGATTTTTAATTCCAAGAAACAGTAGATCAGTATGTGCAAATGTTTACAATGTCTAGAACAATAAAGAAACATTTTACCACTACTTTATTTTTTCTTTCAGTTACTGAATGAAGAGGTTGTAAGTCATGGGTCTTTGTTGGACACCATAGAAAAGAAGGGGTCCAGTATGACTGAACATTATGTTACACAGCTGGAGCTCCAAGATTTGCAGGAACGCTACAGTGCACTACAAGGAAAGACCAAGGTATTTAGTAAATTGTGAACTTAATTATACATTTGTTGGGAAATTTGGCAATTTTACAACAATTATGCCTGTTTCTTCAACATTTGTCCAGTGTAATGAAAATCAGTATATGTGATCAAATGTACACTCACTGGTGTTGTTTGCTCCCTTTTGGTGCTCAAGCATTATTTTTCAGTAATACATAGGTATGTTGCTAAATATCATTGGAAGCCCATTCAGAGTGTTACACAGGTTCCAACAACATCTTCTCATTACGAAGAATAATGAACATTTATGGAATGCCTTAGAGTGATAAGCTAACTGCTAAACATGTCTTGATAACGCTTCTAAAGCTGGAAAATGGTGTAATATCACTTTAGACTCTGGCTGCCAATGGACCCATTAGCGGTTGCTACCTGTGTTGCTTTTGAGACTATGCTTGAGGTGATTGTAGCCGTATTAGTGCATTTGCGACAGAAACAATTGAGTACTGTCCATGATACTTTTTTTATTTGCACTAACATACAATTTTGAGGACAAGCTTTCGGGGTATGTCCCCTTCTTCAAGGTCCAAGCAGTACTATACAAATCGTATAGTAAATTTGTATAGTACTGCTTGGACCTTGAAAAAGGGGACATACCCCGAAAACTTGTCCTCAAAATTGTATGTTAGTGCAAATAAAAAAAGTATCATGGACAGTACTCAATTGTTTTTGAGACTATGAAATCACTTATTTAACAGAGATATATTCTTTTGTAGGAGGCCATCTCCAAAGCAGATAAAATAGTCTCAGATCATCAAGATTATCAGAAGGGTCTTCGAACATTTGATTATTGGTTACAGCAAGAAATTGAGAAGCTGGATTGTCTGGAGTTGCTGGATGGCAATATTGAGATGTATGAAAGCACACTTCGGGAACTTCAGGTACGTAAAAAATGTTAACATTAAATGTTTAGTTAGTAGCTATATCAATGCAGTCATTCTGTGAAGCAATAATGACAGCTTAGTACACATATACCAACTATACTATATCTATTTTAAGACAATATTCTAAATCACTACTATAACTTATGAATATTTGATACTGATAATGCTCTTGAGAGTGCTTTGGCCAATTTCAGCTGGATGTTTGCTTATATAGAAGCTGAAGATGGTTAGATTGTGTTCCCACATAAAGCCATACTTAGATGTCTATGGCCATCTTGACTCAAGTAATCAACCTACCTAAGCTAGCTGCACCCAAAAATAATTACTTAGAAGTATGGAAGTATACAGATAATAAAAAAATACAGTTAGGCTGGCCATACACAGATCAAATTTCTACATGAAAAAAAGAACTCACCATGCTCAACTTGGCTGGACTCGATATCTGTGCAATAGGTGGTGCTATGGTAAGGGCTCCCGTATGCCCTTTATAACCAACTGAAAAGTAAATACTGGCACTCAATCTTGTGCTCCTACATCTTCTTTATTAGACCCCCGGGTTCAAATTCCAGATCAAATTTCAGTTGATTCCTGCTGAATTGGCTAATATTCTTTCCATAGGTGGTCCAATCAGTGCCACCCGACTGTTGTCTAAAGGAGACATCCATACAGTGCCTGCATCCAATCAGATGCATATACTATTCAGGACTTCTGACTGCCACTGGCATCAGCTGTCAGAATACAATAGCTGGCATTGCAGATTTGTCCATCCACCAGGGGCAGACTGATCATTCAGGCTCTCAGGCACTGCCTGAGGGCCCAGGGTCAGTAGGAGGCCCCATGAGATGCCCCTGGTACCTTTCATAGGCTTTTTTGGGTGTGGTTTGAGTGTGGGCAAGGACACAGGGGCCCCATGATTTCCTATTGCCCGGGGGCCCCGTGAGTTGTCAGTCTGCCCCTGCCATTCACACTTTTTTGTGCAGATGGAGGAATTAAGTGACTTCTATGGATCATTCCACAGGATTGAAAGAGCAAAATATTAAAGTAGATGGCCAACTGTGCACTTAATGATGGTTGTGGGATCCATCAAGCAAGATCTGCAAAAGCTGTAAAACAAGGTCCAGTGTCGGGTATGATAAATATAATGTACAACAAAAGCACAACATGCAATGTCCCTTTATAACTGCACCATAGAGAATACCACAAAGTTGTGAATGTGTATACTAAGTCATTTCAACTGACATGTTCAAAGCTAAAATACCTCCAACAGGACTAAATCCCAGCTTTCGAGGGTTCTAGATTTACAGGTTTAACTTCTTTATATTTAGTAGGGCTACATTTCAAAAAGAGTTTGGTGGATCCTCACACCATACCAAACGTCTAGTATTTTCTTCTTTTCAGGAACTTCAGGTGAGGTGTGCAGAAGGTCAGGCTTTACTAAACTCTGCACTACACACACGGGGAAGAAGTTATACAATGGGGCATTCCTCACATTGAAGACAGGGAATTGGAATCATTACGACAAGACTGGCAAGTATATCAGCAAAGACTCACAGAGACCAGAGGACAGCTTAATGCTGTTTTAAGTAAATTGAAAGTGATGGAAAGGAAGTTCCAGAAGACTGATGAATGGTTGAACTCCGTGGAGGGAAAAGTGAATATTAGAACGGGACGCCAGTCAGACAGAGCAACAAAGGAGATACAGCTTCAGCAAATGAAGGTAAAGTCATAGCAAACAAAAATTCCAAATGATTAATAATTGTGTTAGGTAGTTTAAAATTGATTCTCTTTCAGTGACCTGACTTTATGGTTATGTAATCATAACCCAAGAGTAAGAATTACCTGATAGTAGTCAAGATTATATTACTTTTTTTCTCCAAATGTTTCTTTTTATTTATAGTGGTTTTCTTTGATCACTCCCTATGATATAGAATTTATCACCTGTAGAGCCCCAAGACTACAGTTTCCCTCATGGATACTTACTGTGAAATCACACAATTGGAAAAACATAGTTCCTTGAGGGCAGGGACTGATGTGAATGTACAATATATATGTAAAGCGCTGTGCAAATTGACAGTTATATAAGTACTTGTAATAACTAAAATAAACTACAAAAGATCAATCTCAAATTGTATTAGTTTACAATAACAGACTTTAATCACTGATATTTTTACTTTGATATCATGGAAAGTTCTAAATCTTTTTTTCATCGTGTAGAAATGGCATGAGGAGGTGTTAGTCTACAAGGAGGAGGTGGAAGAGGTTGGGTCATTGGCTCAGCAAGTGTTGGAGGAAGGCCGAAGTAGTAGCAGAATGAGTAGCATGGCCAGCCTGCTCGCATCTCGTTATCAAGCTGTCAGATTATACATTTTGGTAAATGCTTTCTTTAAAAATAATGTTGCTGTTTTTGTTTTATTGATAAAGCACAACTACCATGCCTACTATTTTTGTGTTTCATCTATGTAGTGTATGACACAGATAGCTTAGCCATAGATATCAAGACCCATGCTTTGTTTTACAACTAGGGAACACTTTAAGCCACATTTTGGTGATGGGATGAGTCATGCTAATGTAACAGTATATGCTTCTCAAAGGTTGATAATATATTGTCAGTCAATTAACATAATTCATTGTTTGCTTGACTCCCTCGTTTTCAGGAACAAACCCAGTTGCTTGAAGAGGAAATCAGAAGTATAGAGGAGTCGGACATTGCCATTAAATCATATAGCGACTGGTTTGGAGAAGCACAAAACAACTTTAAAAATGTCACATCAGATATGGGAGTCATGGATAAGACAGGCCTGGAGAAGAAAATGAAGAAACTTGAGGTAGTTGATCCAGAAGTTACTGTCTGACTAGCAAAAATGGCCATTTGTTCCATGCTAAAAGGGTGAATACAGAGGGGGCATAATACTATGAAAAAAGTGGGTTTGTTTAACTTTTGTTATTACATGTTATAATACTCTTATCTAAATGCCAAGGCTGAAAGGAGAAAACTCTTCCAAGTTACTATACAGAAAGACTCAGTAAAACTGGGATTTTTATACTTACATTAGTTTTAGTTTAATTATGTACTGAGCATGAACAACATATTTTATGATAGGTGGCAATCAAGTGTATATGTTTCTACTAAAGATCCTGAAAAGTATACGTAGATTTTTAATTATTTTCTTATGTTTTCAACTATTGTTAAATATTTTCTGTCCCCTCCAGCTTTCATTAAGTGATATGGATGTAGGTCATCGATTGCTAAAATCAGCTCGCGAGAAAGGAGAAAGAGTTCTAAACTACTTAACAGGAGCTGAGGCAGAGCAACTAGAGAAAAGTATACACAGCCATGTGAAGAACCTGGAGGACTTGACAAGTTCCATTAGGAAGGAACACACAGCCTTGGAGAAGGGATTTCATTTGGCTAAGGAGTTCTTGGACAAGTACAAAGTGCAAGCCCAGTGGCTAGCAGAATATCAGTCAATTCTGCAAGCTGATGTGGAGCCTAAAACTGAACTGTATGAGAAGAAGGCACAGCTAGCTAAATACAAGGTAACCTACACTGTCATGTTCAGGATAAATTTCCTCTTTTTATCCACAGTCTTTAGCTTGCCATACAAGAACTTGAAATTTGTGGTGTAGTGCATCTGTGCAGTACGTTTTTCATATATGGGTCATTAACAGTCTTATCTGCAGACCAGGGGGTTCAGCAGTGTCATTAGTTATCATCTAGGTATAATTTTGCTTCTGATATTTGGCTTCATAGCACAAGGACATACACTGAATAATGAATGTGCATGATAGGTAAAAAGAAGCTTGTGTGAGAATCTGTGTGTTACTAAATGGTCAGATGTATGCGAACCTTAAAATCTAACCGAGTCTGTAAGCTCTAAATCACTTTGAACTGACACACGAACTACACATTTAATTGAAAGGGGAGGTAAGATGTCGCTACTTTTAACAAAGTATGGCCTGGGGCCTGGCCATAAAGTCA